GAGAGAGAGAGTGGGGGGAGAGAATCGATCCGCAACAGTCCCAACAACGGAGACAAATGTACATACGCAAAAAAATGAAGACGTCCAGGACGAATGGAAAACCCTGCAAAAATGACCCAAGCTAATTACGAGAAAGGTATTGGGGCTGAAATATCAACGATGTCAAAAGTACTTGAAAGAGAAAGACGAAGAGGTCCATGAAATGGTACCTGAGAAGGCTCCACAGCGAGTTATTGGCAGAAAAAAACAGCAGTTGCAATGTACGGACAAAAAGTATAACAACTTGTGTGTGTGTTAAAGAAAAACCAAGTTTGGACTGCAAGGTAGAGAAAATTGGTGTTGAAGCAGACAACTGAACGCTAAACTCTTTTGCGGGCAGCAAAGTTATCTAAAGGCCAAACGAGTGCAACAAGACTGATTTAGGGGAAAAACAGATATCCTAATAGGCTGGGCTCTATTTTCTTAAAACATCCTGAATTAGCCAAGAGACGTCGCGAAAACTCCGGTTTAGTGGAGAGGCTCCGGACGTCGGCTTGACTCCAGCCGACAGTTATTTGCAGAAGTCTTCAGTTTTTGGAGATGTGGTCTTTATTATGAAGTATATAGTAACAAGGACGGATCCCCAGTCCTTGGGATGGCCACTAGAAATGGCCAAAAATTTTTCAAGATAGTGACAAAGAAGAAACTGTGGCGCCAAATGAGAGGAAGCATAGTCGAGTAGGTCCTGCTTGATTGTCACCACCGGGAGGGTGCCGACTTGCTTATAACTATATCAAATAAATTATTTCAAACTTAATTTAATTAAACTAACCTAGCAACTGTCTTGGAAAGTTTACTCGGCAAACTTATGTAAATGGAGACGGCTGAAAGCTAAACTATTCTGCATGCATCAAATTTACCTATAGACCAAACTACTGCAAGGAGATTGGTTTAGGGGAAAGACAGAGATTCTGATAGGCCAGGCTCGGAACTCGCGGAACATCCTCAATTAGCCGACAGGCGACAAGACGTCCCGAAGAGGCTTTAAACAGTCCAGGGAAAAGGCCCCCAGACGTCGGCTTGACTTCAACCGAATGTTACTTGTACGATAGTCTTCAGTTTATGGAGAAAGTGTAGTTTTTATTATAAAGTATATAGCAAAATGGACGGATCCCGGAATCTTTGGGGATACCACTAGAAAATCCCAGGAAACTATCAAGATTGTGACAAA